GACGTCTATAATTTGTGGTTCCTAGGCAGTAAAAATGATTTGTGTTCAACTATTAACTTAAAAGTTGGCAACTCAAACCCATCCGGTGTTATGAAAGAAAGATCTAGAAATAGAAAGATCCTGTTTCTATGCTGATTATATTAGCCAAGAATATCTTATGAAGCAGTTTGAGTTTGTAATGTATACCATTGCCATGAGTTGGACAATTCAAAGGAAAAAGGTTTGGTTTTGATATGGTCTTTTGCTTGTTGTTGCTCCTATTAATTGCCAGCAAGTTGAGTACAACCCTTAGTGACTCTATCAACAACAGATCTGAACCCTGTCCTATTCTTTGCCATCCTTATCATCTGTGTTATACTGTAATCCACTGCTGCAGCCACTGTTTCAATGCCACTCACTGAGGGTATTTCTTTCTTTCACTAACTCTCCACCTTTCCAAGCACAATGTCCTTTTCTAAGGGAGCAACCTCTCATAACAAGCCCAAAGAAAGTCAAAGTTTCACCATTCTTGCTTTTAAGGAGTACTCTGGCTTGCACTTTCTCCGAGATTTAGTCTTTTAAATTGTACTGTTGAATAATATTGAATTTACAATGAACTGCTACAAGAAAAAGCTTGGGACTGCAAAATAGTACAGTCATTTTAGAAGACAATTTGAGGACAAAAGTTCATCTCTGACCCAAGTTTTGTCATTTTCACTCATCTCTTATACATGAAACCTAAACAATGTATAAAGGTGACAGCCATGTGCACTTAAGGTTCCTTCAAATCTTGTGATCTGACAGCTCATTTCTTTTTATCACTGAGGCAGCAGGGGATGACAAAGCAAAATATTACAATGAAATGTTCAAGGAGTTGGAGTCAGAAATCAAAAGGGCCGAACTTGCTCAGCATTTCTTAAGCTCAGGGAACTGAAGAACAAATTCAAACCTCGAGTTGCTATAATCAAGGATGCTTTCGGCAGAATGTTAAATGATCCAGGAAGTATTAACAAAAGATGGAAGGAATATACTGAGTCACTGTATCGAAAGGAATTGGAAGATACAGAAGAATTTCATGAAACAACATATGAG